TCGGTTTTTTGCGGTTTTGTAAAACGATTCTCGAGTTTTATAAAACGATCTTCGGATTTCATAAAACGACCTTCGAGTTTTATAAAACGATCTTCGAGTTTTATAAAACGATCTTCGAGTTTTATAAAACGATTTCTCGAGTTTTATAAAACGATTTCTCGAGTTTTATAAAACGATTTCTCGAGTTTTATAAAACGATCTTCGAGTTTTATAAAACGATTTCTCGAGTTTTATAAAACGATTTCTCGAGTTTTATAAAATGATTCACGAGTTTTATAAAACGATTCTCGAGTTTTACAAAATGATTTCTCGAGTTTTATAAAACGATTTCTCGAGTTTTATAAAACGATTCTCGAGTTTTATAAAACGATTCTCGAGTTTTATAAAACGATTTCTCGAGTTTTATAAAACGATTTCTCTAGTTTTATGAAACGATTTCTCGAGTTTTATGAAACGATTTCTCTAGTTTTATAAAACGATTCTCGAGTTTTATAAAACGATTCTCGAGTTTTATAAAACGATTTCTCGAGTTTTATAAAACGATTTCTCGAGTTTTATAAAACGATTTCTCGAGTTTTATAAAATGATTCTCGAGTTTTATAAAACGATTCTCGAGTTTTATAAAACGATTCTCGAGTTTTATAAAACGATTTCTCGAGTTTTATAAAACGATTTCTCGAGTTTTATAAAATGATTCTCGAGTTTTATAAAACGATTCTCGAGTTTTATAAAACGATTCTCAAAAATTATAAAACGATTTTTCGAGTTTTATAAAACTATTCCTCGGGTTTTATAAAACTGTTCTTTTTGTATTTTCGTGGGGAGTTTTGGCTATTTATTCTGTCGTACCGATTTTGACCCCAACATATGTCATTAAAGTGTGTTTATTTGTTTTGGCACACATCCAAAGAGAATTCCATTAAATATTTTGAAATGATGTTTTTATATTTCAGAGTATTATACAAAACTATTTCCATAAAAAGTATTAAATTTTTATACAAATCAGTTTTGTTAAATACATATATTCTTTTTATTAAAAAATATTTTCTTAAAGAAGTCTTTTTTTTTTGTAACAGAATAAAAAGTCTTTCTATTATGCATTTTAATAAATAAATAAAAGAGGATGGGTCAAAACCATATTATCTAGTGGATGGGTCAAAACCATATTATCTAGGTCCAATCCGTGTAGTGTATATAGCGGCTTAAACTTAACATTTTTCATATTGGTATTGGCTTTATATTTTCCATTTTATCTCCCATGTAATTCCCCTATATAAGGGATCTTATATTATGAGTAATATACAACACCAATTCCTTTATTCTCTCTTTAGTTTACAACACGTTATCAGCACGATTGTACTCTAAACCCTAAGCTAAAACCCAAACAAAAAAACCCTAGCTCTCGCAGGCGATCACTTAGCCGCCATCGGCTTTTTCCTTTTTCTCGGCGAACCCTAGACCCAAGAAACCCTAGTTCGCAGTTCTTTCCTTTTTCCCGGCGAAACCCTAGCACCGTGGGAACCCTAATACACGATCCTTTTCCCGACCAGCCGCTTGTTCGAAGATCTCAGTTCCTGGAATCTGATCAACAAAATCCCGACCACGAGAAGTTCCTAGACAATCTCATCCGATTCGCGATCTGATAGCACTACCGCGACCCGACAATCTCAAAGCTCGTTCCAATCTCACGGTTCTGTCTCTCTTGGTGGTCCGGTTGAAACCTACAAACTCTAAGGTACATCGATTAAACCTTAAAACCTAATGATTAAACTGTAAAACCGTAAAGATATTCTAATGGCATCCGAATGTTCTTGCTAAACCCTAAATTATATTCCCTAAAACTTTAAACATCAAACCGCATGTAAATGCAATAGATTTGATTCCCTAAAACCTATTCGAATCCGTTTGTGATTGTTGTTCTTGTTTAATTAAATTGTTTGATGATTTAAGGTTTAGGTTTCTAGATTGAATGTTTAACCTAATTCCGAAATTCAAAACCTTAAATCACATACTGCTAAATCTGATTGCTAGATTTCTAAACTGTTTTGAGGTTTTAAAGATTATTAGCTAAGATTGATTACTTGTTATAATTGAAACTCTAATCTGAAACCCTAAAACCCCCTTTGATCCTTGGAGTTGTTTGTTTGATCTTATTAATGTTCTAAGTTTTAGGTTGCTAGATTGTTTGAGTTTCTGATCTGTTTCTGAAATCTGAAACCCTAAATTTCGTTTTGAATCCCTAAACCCTAAAACACATGTGACTGATCTGATTTGAGTTTAGGGTTGATTCTTGTTATTTTGATTGATCTAATTGATGTCTTGAAAGATAGGATTTCTAGATTATTATTTCTGAACTTGAAACCCTAAATCTGGGCCGAAACCCTAAAACCCCAAATTCGCATATTATCTTGATTAATGGTGTTGATTGATTGCCTTGAGAGTTAGGTTGATAAATTGATTGATCAATATGATATATCTTGAATCCTAAAACCCTAATCTCGAAATTGAATCCCCCAAAAAGGTTGAAACCTTAAATCTGGAAATTGACCTTGTTTTGAGGTTTAGAAATTGTTTGCATATCTGATCTTATTGCATGAGAGTTAGGTTGCTAGATTACTTGATTCACATATTCTGAAACCCAAAAATTAGTAAACCATAGCCGCATATTGAATCCGATTACCAACCTTAGAAATTGGTAGACCCTGAATCCGCATGATAGTAAACGATCATTGATATTTGTTTGCAGCATATAAGCATGGCCGTGTGGTCTCAGTATATTATCACCTTAATTAACCACATATAGATTTTGATTGCTAGGGTTCTTGCATTATGATTAGATGGTCGTGTGGCCTTGATTGTATAATCTGACCATGACTGTGTGGTCTAATTACTATATTCATGTCTTGAATCTGATTGAGTGTCTTGATATGGTCGCATGTACTATAAAACCCTAACTTGATAATATATGATTTCAGATGTCAAAAATATGCAATCTAGATTATGGTGCCCTAAATCTCTCTAGAGATAACTATTTGCAATGGGCACTAGATACTAAAATCAACCTGAGTTCAAAAGGACTCCGTGAGACTATCATCGAGAATAATAATGAGAATGATATAAATAGATACAAGGCAAAAAGTATTATTCGCCATCATCTCACTGAGGGTCTAAAAGATCAGTATCTCACTATGAAGAATCATCTAGACCTTTGGACCGCCTTACAGCGGAGATATGATCACCAGAAAATGGTGTTACTAACAAAGGCTAGATATGAGTGGAGGAATCTCATATTCCAGGACTACAAGTCCGTGGATGAGTACAACTCAGTTTTATTTAAAATCGTCTCAAAGACTTTGTGGTGAAGAAATAACAGAGAAGGAGTTACTAGAAAAGACCTTCTCCACATTCCATTCTAGCAATGTGTTGCTACAGCAACAATACAGACAAAAGGGTTTCACCACCTATACTGATCTGATCTCATGCATATTACTGGCTGAGACTAATAATGAGTTGCTCATGATGAACAGTGAGATGAGACCTCCTGGCTCAATCCCATTACCTGAAGCCAATAAGGCTATAGAAGAAAAGAAATATTCTGAAAAAATAACCACGTCTAGAGTGTATTCTTGTCTGATTTTTGCTTAATAATATGAATGATTTTCATTATTACAACGCCAATATGAGTTTAAATTGCAAGTATAGTAAGTCCAATAAAGGACCACTGCCAGGGCATTGTATCATTGCCTAAAGGGCATGATTTATATTCACCCAGAGAAGCCCACTGAGATATAAGATATAAAGATATAAGAATTGTTTCCATATTGAAACAATGGGCAAAGGAAATAAAAGTTCCTTCAGATTATAGAAAAACAAATCGCCTAAGGCCATAAGAAAGTGGGCAAGACTATACATGCATCCTCTACTGATCTTTACTATGCCAAGATCAGTATGATAAGAGGCAAATACCATGGTAACCAGAGTGTTTACCCATGAAATTATTCACTTTATGGCATGACTGGATTGGCCATCCTGGTCTAAACGTGATGCAAAGATTGATATACAAATAGGCACAAAGAGTTATCCCATAGAATCTCACGTGTGTAACATGTACACAATGGAAACTCAATAGGCCTTAATGTCCCAAGAATTTAAAGATTATAGTATGTTCATGAGGGGGCAGTAAGGACAAACCTGTGGTCCATGACCATACTATAAACGGCTTGGCCGATTTCTCTTATAAACACATAAGACTATTCCCTATAAGGTCCAAAGCTTGGGGACACACAAAATTAACACGTATCTAAAGTTAATACGCATCAGGCCATCTAGTGAGCATACATATTCCCATCTCAAATTGATTACGGGTCATGAACCAGACATATCCCATCTTAAGACATTTAGACATGCCACCACAAACATATGTGCCGTCAAAGATGGAGTTCTAAGAAGAAGATGGGGACACACAAAATTAACATGTATCTAAAGTTAATACGCATCAGGCCATCTAGTGAGCATAGATATTCCCATCTCAAATTGATTACGGGTCATGAACCAGACATATCCCATCTTAAGACATTTAGACATGCCACCACAAACATATGTGCCGTCTAAGATGGAGTTCTAAAAAGAAGATGGGGATATATGTTAGATATGTTTTCTCCCACGAATATTAATACCTAGAGCCGACCATGGGTGATTACTTTGCATGTCTAAGGAATCCGACTATCCAACATCAGGGGGATAAAATAATAAGTTGGTAAAAGAATGATGAGAGAAATAGAATGGAATAAACCATCATTGTCTTGGCAAGATCCTCAGATTTAAGAAAGTGAAATAAGACGTCCAAAGATAGATACAAAGATTATACATTTATAAAGCTAGATAATCAAATACCAGACACTTTTTCTGACCCGAAAAGAAAAGAATAGAATGACTAAGTCTTACCAGCTTGCACCAACGAATTTGATGTCCTAAAGAGACACAGTCAAGTTGCTACAAATTCTAGACAAGGTAGACCAATAAGTTCCATGAGATAAGAATCCTCAGAAAGAAAAGAGAAAGGGGCATAGAATGATAACTAATCCGAGGTCAAAGGAAACCAGACCAGACATGGAGATAAGGCTGTCAGCTGCACATCTAAGGTACCAAACCATGTAGCTTGGGATGCCAAGCTGCTAGGTAATAAAGTGCCTAGATAATAATATCAAATCGATTAGATCATGCCTGGAACACCATGGAACCACACAAGAGTGTCGACGCATATATGATAGATTCATTTAAGGAGGCACATAAAGGTAGTACTTGAACTTATAGATATGAAGCAAGGATCATGAACCCACGTAATAGAGTACTCGTAAGATCGGATTAAATGGAAACGTGGGCACAGAAACATGTTACGACGAGTGCTGGGTTCTTCATCCTTGGAAACTTGATGACTGAAATAGGGTTGTAGTGGATGATAGGGTTGATGAGGGTTAGACATAGCTTGTTGGATTTGAGATCACAAACGGCTCCAACTGTGGCTAAGAAGGTCTTCCAAGTAGTAGAGAAGTCTTGAAGTTGAGCTTGTTGGCCAGGACATGGAAGTCTGTAGGATTTATGGCATCTCCAATCTTTACCTCAAGGTTTCTAACTATTCCTCTAGAGTTCTGCTGAGAACAATCCACAAAGATCAAGGATTCTTCAGTACGCTCTATCTTCAGACCTAGCTGGTCTGCCATAAGCTTGGGTCGGATGCTAACTCCAGATCCTGTATCACATAGGGCACGAGGGAACTCAACACCTCTGATGGAACATGGTATTGTGAACTTCCCTGGATCGCTCTTCTTCTCCAGTGTGATCTTCTGCTTTAGACTGTCTCTGACTTGGTGAAACATTCTCTTGATGTCTTCTTCTGTCTCTCTGGTTTCTCTGAAAAACATCCACAATCTGTGTGAGAAGTAGGCTTCTTCAAAAGGTTTCTCTCTAGGATTCTTTAGAACTCTCTTTCTGAAGCTTGACAATTCTTTCTCATTAGCTTCCCTTTTATAAGGCTTGGGTATCTTCTCTTTCCTTTTTCTGAGAACTCTTCCGTGGTTTTCCTTTTCTATCTCCATAGACTCAAAGATATCTGTGGGTCTCTCCAAGATGGCATGTTGAGGGCTTCTAGTAGTGTAATACTGCTCCCGGAATGCGTCAATACGTGCACTATCTATCTTGGGGAGTTGCACTCGGCGTTGGGGTACCGTGTATCGGGCGACACTGACTGGATTGCGTCGGTCGATATCATGGTCTCCCTGTCGATCGATAGGAGGGTCATCACATCGGTCGATGTTGTGTGGTTTGATCTTGACAGGGCCGGGTGGATGTGGGTGTCGTGCTGCGAAGGCTTCGTGAGGCATGGTCTTGACGGCACTACACTCGTGAGGGTATTCGTCTAAGTCCATCGATCAACACTCATCAAAGTCTATCGATCGATGTACATGGGATCGTATCGGTCGATGTTCACAGGATGAAATCGATCGATAGTAGTCGTGAACGAAGTATCTCTCATCATCAGTTTTTTGAATCTCTTCTACTACCTCTTCCCAAAAATCATCATCCAGGATGGCATTGATGTTATGGTTGTTAGCAAGCTCCTTCTTCTTTAGGGCTTCTCTTGTCT